CTTTTGAGAAATATCTACTCAAGTCCTTTGCCAATTTTTTTTGTGGCTTGTTTGTCTTTTTGTTGTTGAGTTGTAGAAGTTCTCTATATATGCTAGATCCTAGACCTTTATCAAATAATATAATTTGCAAATATTTTCTCCTATTCTGTGAATTGTCTTTTGTCTATCTTAATAGTGCATTTTTATGTACAAAATTTTTAATTTTAATGAAGTCCAATTTTTCTATTTTTTCTTTTGTTGCTCATGCTTTTGATGTCATATCTAAGAATCTGTTGCCCAATCCAGGGTCACAAATATATTCCCTTATGTATTCTTCTATGAGTTTCATAGTTTTAACTCTTATATTGATAATTAATTCATTTTGAGTTAACTATTATATACAGTTTGAGGTAGGGGGTACCATTTCATGTGGCCATCCAGTTGTCCTAGCACCATTTGTTGAGCAGAATATTCACCAGTTATATTGATTTTTATTTGAACTCTTAATTTTATTCCACTAATCAACTGTTTTAATTTTTTTAAGAGCTAGGCCAGCCTAGGCAACATAGCAAGACCTTGTCTCTACAAAAAAGAAAACAAAAATTACTCAGGTGTGGTGACACAAGCCTATAGTCCCAGTCATTTGGGAGGCTAAGGTGGAAGGATCACCTGAGCCCAGGAAGTCAAGGGTGCAGTGGGCTGTGATTGGACCACTGCATCCCAGCCTGGGTGACAGATCAAGACTCCAAATAAAAAAGAGAGAGGGAGAGAGTCTTGCTATATTGCCCAAGTTGGATACAAACTTCTGGGCTCAAGCAATCCTTCTGTTTCTGCCTTCTAAGTAGCTGGGACCACAGGTGTGCACCACCATACCCAGCTTGTTTTAATTTTTTAAATCTGAAATAATTATTGTTCTTTTCCGCTAAGAGGAAATTGTAAGAAATGAAGTGGGGCCAGGCTCGGTGGCTCAGCCTGTAATCCTAGCACTTTTGGGAGGCCGAGGCGAGTGGACTGCCTGAGCCCGCAGGTTCGAGATCCGCCTGGGCAACTTGGCGAGACCTCGTCTCTACAATAAATCAAAAAAACCAGCTGGATGTGGTAGCGCGCGCCTGTAGTTCCCGCTACTTGGAAGGCTGAGGCAGAAGGATCGCTGGAGCCCAGCAGGTTGAGGCTGCGGTGGCAGGGAGCGTGCCACTGCACTCCAGTCTGGGCGACAGAGTGAGACTCCCAACTCAAAAAGAAAAAAAAAAAGAAATGAAGTGGGTTCAGAGAGATTACTCTTCCAGGAAATTTGGTTATGAGGTAAAGGAAAAAGAAAGGGCATAACCAGAAGTGAATGAAAAGAAAGTATGTTAACATTTGCCTAGGATCCCTCCCATGCCCCACACTATACTAGATGATTTCCACATAACATTTCATTAAATGCTCAGGTCCTTCCAGATTATTTCAGTTCCATAAACATGGAAACTAAGGTTCTGTGACATTAATTATCATTCTTGCCCATGGTCACACCCTCTCCTGAGTGGCAGAGCCAAAATTATACTCCAGATCTATTTGATTCTAATTCTATATTTTTCCCTACTCTATTGTTTTGGATATGAGTTTGGGCCTACAGAGAGAAACATTCAGTTGGCATTCAAAAATACAGTCCTGAAGCTCAGGAAAGAACTGGGGTTACAGATAAAACACAAAAATAATCAGCGCACAAGAGTAGCTGAAGCCATGGGGGTGGAATAGATCACCTGAAGAGAATATGAAAAGGCTTAGGTTTAGGCCTCAAACGGAATCCCAGGACACATTCAAGAATTAAACAGGAAGCCGAGCTCGGTGGCTCAGCCTGTAATCCTGCACCCTTGGGAGGCTGAGGTGAGTGGATTGCCTGAGCCCATGGGTTCAGGACCCGCCTGGGCAGGCGAGACCTCATCTCTACAATAAAATCGAAAAATTAGCCGGGCGTGGTAGCGTACGCCTGTAATTCCGGCTACTCGGATGGCCAAGGTGGAAGGATCTCCGGAGCCCAGCAGGTCGAGGCTGTGGTGGCCGGGAGCGGCCACTGCACTCCAGTCTGGGCAACAGAGTGAGACTCCAACTCAAAAAAAAAAGAATTAAACAGGGGAGAAAACAAGGAGATTCAGGAAGAGTTAGGAAAACTAAAGTATCTACTTCACTAGACTGCAAATCCAAAGAGGGCAAGTACTAAGTCCATCTTGTTCATCTTTTTATCTCCAGGGTCTGATGCTGATGGCACATAACGAACGTTCAATAAATATCTGTTAAATGACTAACTTGGATGGTACTGAAGCTGAAGGAAGAATGTTTCCAGAAGACTATTCTGAAAGAGTAAATGTTTTTGAAAAAACAATGAAAGGTAAGGGTTGAAAAGTAACCACTTGATTAGGCAATAAGAAAGTCAACAGTGACCCAATCAAAAGAAGACTAAATGGAATAACTGAGTAAAAGACTGTAGTGGGTTGAGTAGTGAAGAGGAAGTGAGGAAGAGAAGTATAGACTATTCTTTTAAGACATTTGACGTGAGGGGATAAGAGAAATAAATCAGAAGCTAGAGAACTAGGAGGATTACTTAAATTTTTGTATTTTGGGATTAGAGACATTTCAGCTTATTTGTGAATATAGATACCAGTGGAAGTGCTAGCTTAACGATTTAGTTTTTTGTTTGTTTGCTTGTTTGTTTTTTGAGTTGGAGTCTCACTCTGTCATCCAGGCTAGAGTGCAGGGGCACACTCACAGCTACCACAGCCTCAACCTGCTGGGCTCAGGCTATCCTTCTGCCTCAGGCTTCAAAGTAGCTGGAACTATAGGCATGTGCCACCATGCCCAAATAATTTTTTTGATTTATTGTAAAGACAAGGTCTCCGCATGTTGCCCAGGCTGGTCTCAAACCATGGGCTCAGGTAATCTTCTCGTCTCTGCCTCCCAAAGTGTTGGGATTACAGGCATGAGCCACCATGCCCAGCTCTAGAGACATTTCAGCTTGTTTGTGAATATAGATATCACTGGAAGTGCTAGCTTAACAATTCAGTTTTTTTGTTTGTCTGTTTTTTTGAGTTGGAGTCTCACTCTGTTACCCAGGCTGGAGTGCAGTGGCATGCTCACGGCCACCACAGCCTCGACCTGCTAAGTACAGGCGATCCTTCTGCTTCAGCCTTCTACCTCGCTCAGTCACAATTTAGTTTTTAAGCAGCTATAAATTTATTTGTAGTTTTAAAATTAGCACTACATATGCACAAAGGAATTTTTCTAGGTAAGAGGAATTTATTAGACTTTGGAAAAAGGATTTTCAAATATTGAGACCTATTAACATTGGCAGTTTACATTAACCTGAAGAAATTAATAAAAAGGATAATAATAAAATCAAAATCTTCTCAAAATAATAGAAATGACTGTTTCAAAGTATTGCTAGAAAAAGGAACTGATCTGTTCAACTCAGACTTAATTTAAACAAACAAAAAAAAACTGAGGGTACTTGGTCCTGTACCAGGGAAAGTGAGGGCAAGTTAGAGGCCCAAACTTCACTTGTATGCAGCTTACTTGTATAGTTAATCCTTACTTGTACCCCACATCTCTATAATAAAATAATGTTTAATTTAAAAATGTATATTTCCACCTAAAAAAACAAACTGAAACTAATTCTGCCACTAAAATAAACTGTTTCATTCCCAGCACAGATACCTCATCCAAGAGGAAAATAAATCTGAGATCAGAGATTTGAGATGTTTTATTTACGCTACAAAAAATTTTATATTTAATATTTTACTTTAAGTGTTTCACTTTAGGTTTTGTTCAATGTGGTTTTAAAACCTATTTGTGTAATATACAAAGCTGAGTCTAGTCAGCTTTTTACTATTTGTTTTGTATTGCTTTGAGTCAGGATCTCACTCTGTCTCTCAGGCTGGAGTGCAATGGCATGATCCACAGCCTCAGCCTCCTGGACTCAAGTGATCCTTCCGCTTCAGTCTCCATAATGGCTGGGATTACAGACACATGCCACGACACCCAGCTAATTTTTTAATTTTTTTTGTCTCTCTATATTGGCCAGGCTGCTATTTGGTTTGTATAAATTATTGTTAAACTATAAAAGATAAGAAAATATGAACAGTATTAAACTAAAATGCAAGGTAGAGCCGGGCTCGGTGGCTCAGCCTGTAATCCCGCGCCTTTGGGAGGCTGAGGTGAGTGAATTGCCTGAGCCCGCGGGCTCGAGACCCGCCTGGGCAACTTGGCAAGGCCTCAACTCTACAATAAATCAAAAATTAGCTGGGCGTGGTAGCACGTTCTTGTAGTTCCTGCTACTTGGAAGGCTGAGGCGGAAGGATCACTAGAGCCCAGCAGGTTGAGGCAGCGGTGGCCGGGAGCGGCCACTGCACTCCAGTCTAGGCAACAGAATGAGACTCCAACCCAAAAAATAAATAAATAAATAAATAAATGAAATGAAATGCAAGGTAGATTTCCAATAAGGGAATATACAGCAAAAGAAAAACTGAAGAATAGGCATGGAGCAGTTTAAAACACACTTCCTAGCCACGGCCATTAGATGGTGCAAATATTTTACAGGACTTAAACTAAATGACCTAAGCGCTGTTTTAAGGAAAATCCTCAAATAAATTAAACTTCTTGCCTCTAGGAAAAAGTGGAAATTCTTTTGTACTTTTGGCAACTGTAGGATGATTTGTATACGTATGTGTGTGTTGTTTTTTATATTTTGCTTTGTTTGGCGTAAATCTTTTGAGCTTGTATATTTTCCAAAGGTATTTTAGCCTTTCTGAGTCAGCAGCATCCTGCCTGCATGTGAGTAAATGGCTCTTGGGGCCATGGCGGTGGTGATGATGGTATGTGTCTCCATAGTCCTAGAACTAACTCAATTCTGGTATTGCCACAGGAACAAAATATTATAAAAGTGAAGTGCTACAAGAAAAAGTATATCCCCCAAATATAGTGTGAAGAGTACTAAATTTCCAGTCTGATATGCTAGGAGCCCCCACTAAGCAAAAATGAGTACTTACTCGAATTAGGGGGCCAGGACTGCTGGTATTCACTACGAGCTTGAGTTCTGGGTGACTTGACCCGAACCTGGAGAGCCATCCAAAAATCGCAAGTTATGATCAATGGGAGAATTTACTAAGAAATTTAAATCATAAAAGTGTTCCTAAAATATATACTTTTCTACCACCTCTTCTTCTACAACATGTAAAACCGGATATATTTATCCTAATGATAATAATGTACATATATAAAAGGGCTTTCTAGTTTCCAATGCATTTTCCATATATTTTCTCATCCGATGCCAAGCTCATTCAGGGGAGGTAGGGAGGAGAATAAGCAGTAAAGAGAGATCCTGTGGGATCAATAACCACAATTCCCTACACAGCTACACAGAGGCTGGGAGCAAGAGTGGTCATGAACTCCTTCCCTGGATGGTCATACCATGATGAATCCCACTGGGAGGAAAACCAAAGAGAAAAGAACTGTAACCTTTTTCATGCTGCCTTCCCCTAAATTAAAATTCATATCCTATAAGAAAGCGATTGGCAGTAATGGGTAACTGTCAGGGGAGGGGGGGCGTGGGATTGGCAGTTGAGGGAAACTGCTAAGGGAGAGAGGGGCATACCTTATCAACAAGGGTACCTGCATTATCAATGTTTGTATACCTAACCCTGAATTATACCCTAAATCTTTATTATAAAAATTTTTAAAAAAATTCATAAAACCCCATTTCCTCAACAAGCTTGCCTAAGAAAGACACCCCAGCAAGAGGATTACCTTTCTTTCTTGTTTCTTCTGTGTCTCCATGACATGCAGGCGCTCCATGAGGCTGGAGATGCCCTGTTCCAAGCTGTCAATGGTATGGTGCTGAGGGTCGTGGCCACTGAAACTGTTGCGTAGGCTGCGGAGAGCATCTCGAACAAGCTGCAGGTCACTGGTCTGTGGGCAAAAACAAAGTGCTGCCGGCATGGCCCAACTGCTGGACTTAAGAAGATATAGGTCAGAGGTTTCCAGAATAGGTCTTTAATTTTTGTGGAAGTATGAGCCACAGGAAATTTTCCTCCACAGAAGAAGGCCTACTGTTTGTCCACTAATTATTATTATTTTTTTTTTGAGTTGGAGTCTCACTCCATCGCCCATGCTGGGGCACAGTAGCATGCTCATGGCCACCCCAGCCTTGACCTGCTGAGCTCAGGCGATCCTTCCGCCTCGGCCTTCCAAGTAGCTGGAATTACAGGTGCGTGCTACCACGCCCAGCTAATTTTTTGATTTAGTGTAGAGATGAGGTCTCATCAAGTTGCCCAGGCTGTTCTCAAATCCGTGGGCTCAGGCAATCCCCTCTCCTCAGTCTCCCAAAAAGTGCTCGGATTCGGGCTTGAGCCACCACGCCTGGCCCAACCCACTAATTCTTCATTGTTGATACAGAGTACGGTGGCTCAGCCTGTAATCCCGCGCATTGGGAGGCTGAGGTGAGTGG